TTCAAAGGAGAGGGCCCAGAAGTGGATGTGAACCTGCCCAAGGCTGACATTGATGTCTCAGGACCCAAGGTGGATGTTGAAGTTCCAGATGTGAATATTGATGGTCCAGATGCAAAAGTAAAAGGTCTTAAATTTAAGATGCCAGAAATGAATATAAAGCCTCAGAAGATATCCATGCCAGATGTTGGTTTGCATTTGAAAGGTCCTAAAATGAAAGGAGATTATGATGTTACAACTCCAAAGGTAGAAGGAGAGATAAAAGCTCCTGATGTTGACATCAAAGGGCCCAAAGTGGACATTAATGCACCAGATGTGGGGGTTCATGGCCCAGACTGGCACCTGAAGATGCCCAAGGTGAAAATGCCCAAGTTCAGCATGCCAGGCTTCAAAGGAGAGGGCCCAGAAGTGGATGTAAACCTGCCCAAGGCTGACATTGATGTCTCTGGGCCCAAGGTGGACATTGATGTTCCAGATGTGAATATTGAAGGTCCAGAGGGGAAACTAAAGGGTCCCAAGTTTAAGATGCCAAGCATGAATATACAGACACACAAAATCTCTATGCCTGATGTTGGACTTAATCTGAAAGCCCCTAAACTGAAAACTGATGTCGATGTTTCCCTTCCCAAAGTGGAAGGAGACTTGAAAGGTCCTGAAATTGACATGAAGGCCCCGAAGATGGATGTGGATGTTGGTGATATTGATATTGAAGGTCCAGAAGGAAAGCTGAAGGGCCCTAAGTTTAAGATGCCTGAGATGCACTTCAAGACCCCCAAGCTCTCCATGCCTGATGTGGACTTACACTTGAAAGGTCCCAAAGTGAAAGGGGATGTGGATGTGTCTGTGCCCAAGATAGAAGGTGAAATGAAAGTGCCAGATGTGGACATCAAAGGCCCCAAAGTGGACATCGATGTCCCAGATGTGGATGTTCATGGCCCAGACTGGCACCTGAAAATGCCCAAGGTGAAAATGCCCAAGTTCAGCATGCCTGGCTTCAAGGGTGAGGGCCCAGATGTGGATGTGAACCTGCCCAAGGCTGACATTAATGTGTCTGGCCCCAAAGTGGACATTGATGCTCCTGATTTGGATATTGAAGGACCAGAAGGAAAATTAAAGGGCTCTAAATTTAAGATGCCTAAGTTGAATATCAAAGCTCCTAAGATATCCATGCCAGATGTGGACTTGAATTTGAAGGGACCCAAAGTGAAAGGAGAAATAGATGCTTCCGTGCCTGAACTAGAAGGTGATCTCAGAGGTCCACAAGTTGATATCAAAGGTCCTGGTGTGGATGTGGAGATGCCTGATGTTGACCTGGAATGTCCTGATGCAAAGTTGAAAGGCCCTAAGTTTAAGATGCCCGAGATGCACTTCAAGGCTCCCAAGCTCTCCATGCCTGATGTGGACTTACACTTGAAAGGTCCCAAAGTGAAAGGGGATGTGGATGTATCTGTGCCCAAGATAGAAGGTGAAATGAAAGTGCCAGATGTGGACATCAAAGGCCCCAAAGTAGACATTGATGTCCCAGATGTGGATGTTCATGGCCCAGACTGGAACTTGAAAATGCCCAAGATGAAAATGCCCAAATTTAGCGTGCCTGGCTTCAAAGGCGAGGGCCCAGAAGTGGATGTGAACCTGCCCAAGGCTGACGTTGACGTATCTGGCCCCAAGGTGGACATTGAAGCCCCAGATGTGAGCCTTGAGGGCCCAGAAGGGAAACTGAAGGGCCCCAAGTTTAAGATGCCTGAGATGCACTTCAAGGCTCCCAAGATGTCCATGCCTGATGTGAACTTGAATCTTAAGGGGCCAAAACTGAAGGGAGATGTGGATGTATCTGTGCCAAAATTGGAAGGAGATTTGAAAGGCCCCAGTGTGGATGTGGAGATGCCTGATGTTGACCTGGAATGCCCTGATGCGAAGTTGAAAGGCCCTAAGTTTAAGATGCCAGACATGCACTTCAAGACCCCCAAGCTCTCCATGCCTGATGTGGATTTACACTTAAAAGGCCCCAAAGTGAAAGGAGATATGGATGTGTCTGTGCCCAAGATAGAAGGTGAAATGAAAGTGCCAGATGTGGACATCAAAGGCCCCAAAGTTGACATTGATGCCCCAGATGTGGATGTTCATGGCCCGGAGTGGCACCTGAAGATGCCCAAGATGAAAATGCCCAAGTTCAGTATGCCTGGCTTCAAAGGCGAGGGCCCAGATGTGGATGTGAACCTGCCTAAGGCTGACATTGACATCTCTGGACCTAGGGTGGACATTGAAGCCCCGGATGTGAGCCTTGAAGGTCCAGAAGGGAAGCTGAAAGGCCCTAAGTTCAAGATGCCTGAAATGCACTTTCATGCCCCTAAGATCTCCATGCCTGATGTTGATTTCAACTTAAAAGGGCCTAAAGTCAAAGGAGACTTGGATTTTTCTGCCCCAAAGCTGGAGGGAGAGTTAAAGGGTCCAGAATTGGATGTGAAAGGCCCCAAATTGGATGTTGACATGCCAGACGTAGCTGTGGAAGGTCCAGATGGAAAATGGAAAAGTCCTAAATTTAAGATGCCAGACATGCACTTTAAAGCTCCCAAAATCTCCATGCCAGACGTTGATTTACACTTAAAAAGTCCCAAGATAAAGGGAGACGTGAATGTTGATGTCCCGAAATTGGAAGGTGACCTCAAAGGGCCAGATCTCAAAGGTGACATCAGTGGGCCAGATATTGACATTGAAGGACCAGAGGGCAAATTGAAAGGTCCCAAGTTCAAGATGCCTGACATGCATTTCAAAGCCCCAAATATTTCTATGCCTGATGTGGACTTAAATTTGAAAGGACCCAAAATCAAGGGGGATGTTGATGTGTCTGTGCCTGAGGTAGAAGGTAAAATTAAAGTACCAGATGTGAACATCAAGGGCCCCAAAGTAGACATAAATGCTCCTGATGTTCATGGCCCAGACTGGCACCTGAAGATGCCCAAAATGAAAATGCCCAAGTTCAGCATGCCTGGTTTTAAGACAGAGGGCCCAGAAGTAGATGTGAATCTTCCCAAGGCTGACATTGATGTCTCAGGACCCAAGGTTGACGTTGAAGTCCCAGATATGAGCATTGAGAGTCCGGAGGGAAAGATCAAAGGGCCTAAATTTAAAATGCCAGAAATGAACATCAAAGCTCCCAAGATCTCGATGCCAGACATAGATTTACACTTGAAAGGCCCTAAGGTCAAAGGAGATGTGGATGTTTCCCTACCTAAGGTGGAAGGTGACCTAAAGGGCCCCAAAGTGGACATTGATGCCCCAGATGTGGATATTCAAAGCCCAGACTGGCACCTGAAGATGCCCAAGATGAAAATGCCCAAGTTCAGCATGCCAGGCTTTAAAGGAGAGGGCCCAGAAGTGGATGTGAACCTGCCCAAGGCCGACATTGATGTATCAGCACCCAAGGTGGACATCGAAGGCCCTGATGTTAACATTGAGGGACCAGAGGGAAAGTTGAAAGGTCCCAAGTTCAAGATGCCTGAGATGAACATCAAAGCCCCCAAGATCTCCATGCCTGACTTTGATTTGCACCTGAAAGGTCCTAAGGTCAAAGGAGATGTGGATGTTTCCCTGCCTAAGGTGGAAGGTGACCTAAAAGGCCCTGAAGTTGACATCAAAGGGCCCAAGGTGGACGTTGATGTCCCAGATGTGGATGTGCATGGCCCAGACTGGCACCTGAAGATGCCCAAGATAAAAATGCCCAAGATCAGCATGCCAGGCTTTAAAGGAGAGGGCCCAGAAGTGGATGTGAACCTGCCCAAGGCCGACATTGATGTCTCAGGACCCAAAGTGGATGTTGAATGCCCTGATGTGAATATTGAAGGACCTGAAGGAAAGTGGAAAAGTCCAAAGTTTAAGATGCCTGAAATGCATTTTAAGACTCCTAAGATATCTATGCCAGATATTGACCTTAATCTATCAGGTCCAAAAATAAAAGGAGATGTGGATGTCACAGGTCCTAAGTTAGAGGGAGACCTGAAAGGCCCTGAAGTTGACCTCAAAGGCCCTAAAGTGGACATTGATGTCCCAGATGTGGATGTTCATGGCCCAGACTGGCACTTGAAGATGCCCAAGATGAAAATGCCCAAGTTCAGCATGCCAGGTTTCAAAGGCGAGGGCCCAGAAGTGGATGTGAACCTGCCCAAGGCCGACATTGATGTCTCTGGACCCAAGGTGGACATTGATGTTCCAGATGTCAGTATCGAAGGTCCAGATGCAAAATTGAAGGGCTCCAAGTTCAAGATGCCAGAGATGAACATCAAAGCTCCCAAGATCTC